TTTAGTTTTGATATTTCAAAAATTATTTCTGTATAAGTTTACAGCATCTTATATACACGTGTAAGTGCATCACAATTCTGCCTATCGCATATAGCCATCCCATCTTAATCTTAATACTTGCAGGACTCTGGCATGCTGGGAAGGGTTTCATTGCCCATGATATTGAACCTCATAAACATCCAAACAAAAACAAGAAACTACCTTTGTTCCCAATAATGAACAGAGTAGATATACATTTATGACTAATGCGTTTACTACTTTTGAGCAAAGTAATCATACACGAAAGCAAATCAACCAAGGTACGTCAGAATTTGGTTTCCCACACAGCTGCTATCGAGAGCTAACCTTGGCTATGTGAAGTAGGGAGAATTGAAATGTTTACATAGGGCACTTGCCTTACATGCATTGTATATTATTAAAGGCACAACGATGACAAGATGTGATTACACGTGTTAAGAGATATTTGACGATTAAGGGCATAAGTAACCCATAGCAGTTTAATGTTACCTCAGTCGGTAAGTGAAGGTTTTGCATTTTTCATCAAGAATTGTACATGTACATGTAATTAACGCTCATGGAGCATATATCCCACAATATTTGGAGTTAATTCTCACTATGAACATGGCGGACAATGAAAGCGGACAAAATATACAGTTCCTCAGGTAGACAAAGGAACATCCCTTCACTGCGTAAAAATGTGTAGAACAGGTGAATATGCATGTGATGTGACACCTGTTCCACACATTTTGACATAAAAGCAGTGAAGGGATGTTCCTTTGTCTACCGCTTTCATTGTCCGCCATGTTCATAGTGTCTGTTGCAGTACATTGCTCTATTCAAATGAGAATTATGTTACTGAAAATAGGCATTCAGCAAATATCCCAAACTGGTGTTGGAGTAGACAGAAACAACCATCTGGTATGGATGTAGCAAGTATAGTAATGGATTGATAATATCATATCAACCTCAAATTGCTTGTACTGTAGGAACACTATATATTTACTTCAATAGTCCGATTTTTATCTTGATAATCCCCCTATTACTACATTAATACAATCCTGTGTAACTTTACCTCCATTCAATTTGTACTTTATACACGTATATCATAATGATTAATATGAAACCGTACGACACTTGAACCAATTCAAGGTAGCTTATCTGAATACATATAAAAACTTGGTGATTAAAATGTATCGATACACAGAAAGTATACACTGATAAATGCATATTGTCTCCATATAAATCATTCAGCAGCACATATGTTTATCAAATTTCATTTGATAAAATCCATGTATGCTCCATCAGGAGAAGTTGTGGTAAAACATCCAAATTCAAACTGTCCATCATGTACATGTATACAGGCCTCTATCGCATCCTGAAAACATAATGCTAGGAAAAATATATAATTCTGACTTCCCACCAGTCTTCCTCTTGTAGAATTAAAACAAATATCAGTTTACAAAAATATTTGTGGAATGCATGCATAAAAAATTCCTTTTTAGATATTTCTTATGTTGTGTGTCAATTCACGACTATTTAGAATCACAGAGGGAACTTTGTATTCATAGTTATAATCATCTGTTTTGTAAAGACTATTTTGCACAAACACCTGTAGAAGTATCATGCCATTGATGGATTCAGGCATCCGCACAATATTTGCACCATCTCCATCCTTTGGGGAACAACGCCCACCTTGAAGGTCACTTTGAGGGAAGCTGGCAAATTCAAAAGTTTAGCATCCCACTACCAGGGAGGTGTTTCACAAAGATCCTAAGTAGAACTTAACACTAAGTTGGACTTAAAAATTATGGACAGCCATTGGAGTCTTAAAATGAAATATATCCAAAAGCAGAAATTCAAGTGTTTTAGACTTTTTTATAAATTCCACGCCAAGAACATGAAATCTCCCATGATAATAGGAAATATGAATGATTTGAATCAACATTTTATGCCTTCTACAAAGAAATTTACAAAATATTTTCAAGGATGCTAATGGCTTCCCATAATTTTTAAGTCCAACTTAGAGTTAAGTTCTACTTAGGATCTTTGTGAAACACCCCCCAGGACCCCATTTCTCTCCTGGGTAAAGAGAGGCAGATGTAAGATATCTTGCCAAATGATGTTAGTGGCATGCTTGGGTTTGAACCCATGATTAAGTGTTACAGCCACTCAACTATGGCAACCTCTGCAGATTCAGAATACTATATACAACAAATGACACGATTTAAATTCTACTATATGACATTAGAATGAAAAAACTGAAGAATCAAATATGGCTGATGGATGAACAAAGGCACTCAGATCTATACGCAAGGCTATAATAGGTTGTAAGACTTTCTCCGGCAACAATTGCAGCTTAGCGGTCGATAACCAAATTCTTTATTTTAACCCTAACATCTTTTTACAACCCTAACCCCATATCTTTCATGAAATAAAACCAAGAGCAACTGTTGCAGGAGTACATGTCGGAGTACCCAATAATATGGACCAAGAAAAGATGAGGCGAGAGTTTGGGCCGACCCAATTTCAGTGTTTTGTCAAATAAGCATGTATTACAAAAAATATGGTGCATATAAAGTTAACAACTTCAATTATTCATACCCTTTAATACCAAGTTTTTTATTTTTGTTCAAGTATGTGAAGTTGATTTGACATATTTTTTATTTTTTACATCACAAAGTATTCAACAAAGGCCCAAATTCAACCAATCCACCATTCAAATAATTAAGTTGTTAACTGTACATGTAGATGTGTATATTTTTCTTGTGGAAAAAATCACATACATTTTTGTTTCCTCACTGTAAATGTGAGGAATGCCTTACCAGAGCAGGCAATAACATACATGTATCGACTTGGTTTTGAAAACGAAGACCAGTCCAAGTTTCAAGACCGCTGCATTATTTCATAAGATTAGAATAAAAATGGCGAATCGAGAACTGGTCTACAGAAACACTTTTTTCTTTGATATCGTCATTCAGTAAAAACCCTTTGAGGACAATTTTCTTTTGATTTGACAGATACTTCCACTGAATTTCATCCCAATTTACCAGTGACCGAGTATTAAGAAAATTTAAAGAAAATTATGGATTCCACTTAAATTTCAAATGCTAATTATACTGTAATGCATTTGTTTTAATTATCCAAATCGAATTGCTAAAATATACTCTCAACGTATTACATAGCGTTATATTTACAAAATTTAAACAAAAAACTAATTCTGCAGAAATATAATAGACGGTACACGATCTAATTTAAAAATAAAATAAATATAAAACCCTTGAACCAAAACATTAGATGTCGCTTTACACAAAACCATTGTATAAAGTAAGCATGCAATTAAAAACTAATACATGTAGATCTATATTCTGCTCAAATTCAATTAAACCTGACCAAAGGGCTAGAATCATAACAAAAAGGAACAATTTAATAATAATAATAATAATAATATTCAGCTTTTATATAGCGCAAATCACAATAAGTCTCTAAGCGCTTCCAAACTTGGATATTATTACCCCGGCTTTAGCTGTGCTGCCATTATAGCGCACTAGCATTTCAAGGAATAAATTCCTACCAGGTACCCATTTACTTCACCTGGGTGGAGTGTGGCAAATGTAGATCAATATCTTGCCAAAGGACATTAGTGCGGCGGAGCTAGGCACTAAACTTAAACTTAACCTAAACCTAAACTTACTTCCTTTGTTAAACCCAACGTACAACAACAAAAGTTATTTTAAAAAAAAAACCCACCTAAACCCAGCAAAGATTAGTTAAATTTGGGCCATTGTATCACACTAATTAACCGAAGGTGATCATATCTTTTTAACAAGCCCAACACAACCTATGATTAAGTGGCATGAATAACCAACATCCAGGATCTTTTACCCCTCTAGCAATCATACAACACATCTATGAAACACAAAACTGGTTGATCCCGCTCACGTTCAGTTGGGCATAACAAATATTTAAAAATCCTTCTCTCTCTAGAATAAATGTATATCAAATTAATCCATGAATAATCAAAGCTGACAAAGGAGCATAAACTTGGGTGCCTACTGGTAATAAAAACATTCCATTCTTTGTACAGCCAATATCACATTATGAAAGGTCATAAAACATCCCTATGCGCTTCCAAAGCACTTTGGAAACTGTTACCCCGGCTGTAGGTAAAGGAACATTTTTATCTGCATACATATTCAAACAAAATTTTGTCTGTGCGGCTGGGGTATATAGAAGTATCATGCTATGTTTTTTTTATGTTACACTGTACTGTGAATTTTTCTGCAAAAAATGTAAGGCATACCGTATTCTGTAAATCTTTGTTTTCTGACCAATAAAAAAATGAGATACCATCTATTCTGATTTGTGCACATTTGAAATTTGAAATTGCTCTTGTAAATATTTGTTTCTTTGTTTCCCTAGTCATTATCTGTAGAAGACAGGAGAGGAAGTACCCCTCCCTTAATCAAAATAAATCACATAATTCATTCTTGAAAAGGCTAAATTAATTCAGGATACTTCCCTTTTTTAGTTCTACTATTTCAGACGGGTTAGAGGCATCTGGCAAATCCCCTGATCCATGAGGAATCCCATGATTCCTTGAGGCTCATTCAGATACATAGGTAACGGCAGACCACAGCGTTTAAAAAAATTCAAACAAAACAATGAAAGGCAACCTCAACCATGTACATTGGAGGTCCTAAACGTATTCACTGACCTCTGTGTTATAAAATACAGAAATGTAATGCGTATTATATGTACATCATACCATAAGCCAACAAGGATTCAGAAATTAAATTTCTATTTAGTAATCCATGAGCATTAGTTGATGGTTTCTTTTCTTTTGTTATTGTATTAATGATTGTTCTTTGTTTTCTTGAATTCTATGTTTAATATTTTTATACTCGTTAATGTTCCTGGAAATAAAATAAACATAAGCGTTACCAAAATAATGATAAAAATCATATAACAATAATATGTCTTGTTTACTGAAGTTTAAGCCTCATCAGTATTAATACCGTTCTCCCTGAGGGCCCTGCAGTCATATTATTACCCAGGCTTTATAAAAAAAAAACGAAAAAATGCTGCGATTCACCATGTCATATCTGAACCAGACTTTTTAGGGACTGCATCCATAGATGTATTTATTGCTGTCTGTACAGGCCTTGTATGTACAGTCGTTGTATGCACAGGTGTCACAATCCCGGACTTGGTTCTTTTTCAACAAAATGTTCGAACTAAAGGAACCTTTATCCTCAGGTGTGGCCTGTGGAAAATGAAATATAGAAAAATGATCATTATGATTATGGTGTATTCATTCAAATGTGTCATGCAGCCTCATTGTACACATTTTTAGCATAAATAAATATAGAATCAAAATGAGTACATGCAAGTACACTGTAATAACAAGGGTATAACAGCATAATGTGATGAAATGAAAGTTGTAAGCAATTTTGCATGGGAAAGGTGACATATGTGGTAGCATGTTTCTGCTCCCAGACGGCCCTGTGCAATGATATGTGCCATACAACACCCTGATTACATGTATAAATAGTCCACAAAAAACGAAATAAGCACACATTCTGTCGGAGTCATGACACCTACTCTCTCCCAAATAACCTTTCTCTTTATTTCCCTCCTTACATCTTACTTATTTCCACATCTACCTCTCTTTCTTTGCCCTTAATTCTCATATACAGCATATTTGTTATCATAATTGTATTCACAGCTTCAGCTTGTACCCTAACCTCCTCCTTCTCTCTATCTACCCCCTCCTCCTTTCCTCTCTCTTCCCTCACTTGCTCTCTCTGTCTTCCCCCTCTCTCTACCTGTTCAAGTTTTCTGTCCCTCTCCTCAGTCTTTTTTTGTACTTTCATATCTTTGAAATAACTTGAAGTAATAAATATTGCATAAATTTGTATTTATCTAAATGTGATTACATTTTATTTCTAATGTATTTCCGTCTACATGTACACAACACATCACACAAACACATGTGTGCATGTAATATCAAAGGAAAATGCCTAATTACTCCTTAATCAACTGACCCTTTCACTATATTTTAAGCTTGTGCTGTGCTGCTGGTCAGTATTTTTATACCACTCACACAAAATAAAGAAAATAATATAAGCAGCTTTCGTACTTACACTCCCGCAGGTAGTTTCGTTATTTAAGGATGTATAAACTTGGTTGGCAACTTCCCATTCTGTACATCTTTGAACAGTTTCATTTGTCGTGTAAGTACCTTTAACAAATGAAACGGGAAACCCTTTTTGTGACGTCAGTGAGTCAGAGACTACAAAGAAGTTATGTATCCCAAGTGTTTCAATACAAATAAAGCATGGACATTTAGAAACATCAGTTTACACATGTAAGAATTAGATGGACTCAGTACTACAGAATCATAAAAACAGAGCATTTCTATAAACAATGTTAAATAATGAAGGACATATTTTCTTTAGATAATCAGTAATTATCATCCATTGCATCTGGATATACCCTTTTCCATAATGCCTCATATCTAGTTACCATGAAAATGAATCTTCTGAGGATTCTTTCTGCACTTGTGAGATCTAAATTAGAATTTCTTTAAACCCATTCCTCTTCCATTTGGTAGAACATTTTGTTGATATACAGTTATGCATAGGATGGTGCGATATCATAAAGCGTGACTCCATGCCTAAAATTAGCTTCACGAACTACAGTCGAACCTTTCTATTAATGTTAGAAAGAAAAAACAGAAAAAGTGGCCACTGGAGGCAGGTGGCTTTTCTAAAAATGTTCAATGACACATATTTCTTTCTTAAAGGAGACAAAATACATTGCCATTTTTCACCGTTCAGTTTTAGGAGGGGTACATGCCTCCAAGGAACTGTTATATGAGAATTTAGAGGCACAATGGCGGATCTTGCATTTACTTTCTACATGTGCTTTGCAACAAATTTGTTGGGCCAGGTCTTGAAGAATTTAGGGAGGATTAAGGGGCTTGCGCCCCAAACACCTAAAGAACCTCTACTAATGCCCCCCTCTTGTGCTTATTTCTTTCTGTATATACCGTATTTGCCGGCGATAAGGCCGCAGCGCCGTATAGGCCACACCCCCGTTTTTAGAAGAATGTGTAAGATCATTAATTAAAAACAATAAAGTACCTATGGTACCAGTGGTGTACCTTGTGGTACACCATTTGTTATAGAAAAAAATTTGAGGAACTATTATTATAAACTACATATTGAGATCTATTAGAAAGATTACTTTCAAACCAAGATGACAGTCAAATTTTAGTGTTGTTGTAGTTTCCGAGTGGTGAGTCAACACACTGATTACTGAGCTGGGAGACATTGCCAGGCATAGCGCCATAAATCGAAACTAAAAAAAAAAAATACTGCGGCCTATACACCGGCAAATACGGTATTAAGCACATCTTGTTTCTTTGTTTCTTAAGGAATCAAATAGATTTAATAGCCTACTCTGTTTTAAATTTATTGGAGATCAAAATTAGACCAGTAGCAAGGGTCGTAAATGAATTTTAAAAAACTACTAAAACAGACTCAAAGTCAGAATAACAAAGGTCTATAAAATACTGCCAGTTCTGTGCTTCCAAATTTCGAAATTACAGGTAAAAGAATATATTCTTTCAGGAAATGCTAAAAAAACTAAAATCTGACCATCCTAACCAAATACCGGTAGACCTTTATTGAGCTATAACAGAATACTACACTATGCAACTTTTTGGTGGTCTTGTGGCACGAAGTCAGTCAAGTCACAAATTAGCTTGTTGTCTGCTCGTACTGCACATGCCCAGTACACCTATACATCGCTGATTTATCCAATTTTTGCTTTGACATTATATTGAAATTTTTCTCTCTGATAGTTCCAACAGTAGAAAAACAAATTAAACCTCAGTCCAAATTTCTTTTGACAAAAGCAAGTTTAGACCATGCTGGCGTCTGGTTTAATTGAATCAATAGAATATGTACGAGCCTCATTGTGAAAAAGTCAGTATGTCCATATAAACATAACAAGAGATTCAAACATACCATAGGGTTCGATCGAGTATTTCAAATTGGATGCTGAGAACGTCACATCGGTAATATCCAAGATTAGGATGCTCAAGTGGACCATACTCCTAGTGCAATCTAGGCTCTCGTTTTTCAACAGACGATACGCTTCATCATTGCTGTCCGTGATTACATTCCCGTTGTATGTAATACTTGGTTCCCCATTCTCCACAGTGCCGTAGATGATTTCAAAGACTGAGTTTGGTGGTACCTGGTAATCGCCACCTGGTGGAAACATATTTGGTGGTGGTGTTGGTGTTGGTGTTGGTGGTGGTGATGTAGGCTCTATTACGGAAGATAATGATAAACAGGCGAATGATACACACAAAATTATAATGCACATTGTTGTTTAAGGACATAGATTGGGGGAATATATATAATCCAGTGTGAAAATGTAATATGGTCCTATAACCACATGCATTATCATAATTAAAATGGCTTAATCTTGAGGGCCCTGCAATTATTATTACCCCCAAAATAACCTTGACCTACATACAGGTATATAGAAAGGGAAATCTGGGTAATATACAGGGAGTCCAGGGAGGTAATGATGAGCCCGGTGGGGTCACTCCCCGCAGAGGGTAACACGTATGACCGTTACCACAAATGCAAATAACCCCCTTTTGTGGTCAATTTCAAGGACATTTTGTGAAATTTAACCCCTATTTTACGTCAAAACAAAGACAAATCGTACTTTGGAATAGCCCTATTTATAAGATTGTAAGGACGCTTTCGCAAATTTACCCCTATTTTACCAATTTCAAGGACAAGACTCGGCTCCGAGAATTTTTTTTCCCGGTTTTCTCTTTTCCCTTTTCCTGACCCCTATTTATCAATTTTGAGGACACCTAAATTTGCACCCCTATTTTCTATATTTCGAGGAATATTTTTTCTGCGGACATTGCTTGAAATTGACCCCTTATTTCATGATTTTGGTAACCGTCATGCGGTCCGGAAGTCACATTGAGTGACCCCATCGGGATGATGAGACCCAGGGGCTTCACTAACATTGTTCCCCTTGGATCCATGCTCTACTCTGCTGAGTGCAAGATGGCTTCATTCAAAGCTATTCTGCCATTCCCATCGACCCTATTGATCCGGGAACAGGATGCTTCCTGTACTACCCCTATGGGAATAAGAAAATCCAGTAGTCCACTAGTCAGCTTTCAGCATGTTTCTACTGTAGACCCGGGGAGCAACGGTACTGTCTACCGGAATACAGGTATTGAAATAATCGCTAACAGAATGTTACCAGTCCGTTTCTACAGAAGCACAATAAACCCATTTTTTGTGCAGGTATCATAATTCATACCAGGCACAATGGATGTTTGGAAAGCGGGTAATGAGTGCAGTAATTTACAAATAATACACAGCAGTGAGGGCATTAGTAAAAATTACCCAAACAAGGTACCTTTGGAACAGTCTAACATGGCCGAGGAGACAGCCGAGGTTGTTTGGACTGTTTCGAAGTAACATAGTGTGGGTAATTTTTACTAATAAATGCTCGAACAAAATGGCGTGTATTATTTGTTTTATAAGATGATGTTTTATTTGTTTTGTAAAATGATGTTTTATAACATGTGTTTAATGACCGGTCATTAGCAAAATTATGAGTTAGGCAAAATAAATGCCTGGCCATGTGTACGCTCAACAAATCGTTTGATTAGGATCAGCTTCATCATCTTATAATATGCATAGTCTCACACGGCCTAAACACTTACGCTAACGCATGGAAACGTTTGTAAAGAACTGAGAAGGCAAGCGTAAATGTTAGCATTATAAACAGATTATTTTATTACTAAAGAAGCACACACCTGAAGACAACAAACTCAAAATAAAGGAAAGAAAAGGTACCCGGTAGTTGGAAATCCTGTAGAAACACATCAAATTTTCAAGATATAAATGACAATAAAGGAAAGAAAAGGTACCCGGTAGTTGGAAATCCTGTAGAAACACATCAAATTTTCAAGATATAAATGACAACATTTGGAGACGTACCACTACAACTACTTAAGACATATACATCTTCATCTGTCGTAACCAGGTAGCCGTTTTCAGTAAGCTCCAAGTCTTTGATGGGACGAGATACTACAGGATCCTGTAGATTGGAAGATAAAAACAGAAAGAGTGGATGAGACAAAGGGATAAATATAATGATCTGGTTTACCCAGGATATCCACCTCAATATCAATACTGTTCTCCCTGATCGAGGGCCCCGCAATCATAGTATTACCCAGATTGGGGTCGATAGGCAGAAAGCAAGATAGCTAGGAGAGAACAAGAAACAATGGTAAGTTGAGAAGATGGGATATATTCAATGGATAGACAAAAAAATAAATGAAAAATAAAAAAGAAAGAAAATAAATTCACATTAGAAACTGAGGACTGAGACAGAGAGACAAGCAGATAAAATGATAGATAAAATGATAGATAAAAGGAGAAAACATGGAAACATGGTAAGTTGAGATGAAAGAGAAGGGAGAAATACACTGTACAATGGGTACACAGGATTTTGACCATGATCCCGTCTTCTGATCAAAGATTGAATCATAGTATATTTGTAGAGTAAAGTCGCAGCTCCAACATACTAAAATATGGGAGACATCAGAGTGGGGATAGACGAGAAATATTCAAAACAACAACAGAAAATATTAGCTCGTCAAATCAAATTCAATTATTTTCCTTTAAGTTTGAATTCAGAGCATTCTATCAGCAAAATCAGAAAACAAAAGAATAATTGGGGGTATCTAGCCATGACGCACGTACGGACACGGGAGAGACCGACAGTTTACCCATGATGTCAAGTTTAAGCATATCAAATATTCAGAAATGAAAATGTACATGTATGACGGAAATATGGTCAAAAATAGAAATTAACAAAATAAAAATGATCAATAATCATACATATGCCACATGTCATTAACCGTGTCTTTCATGAGATATGAAGCGAACAAATTCCATATAGAAAGAAAGGGGACAAAAGCTCTTTTTTACACACAGACAGCGCCTTGTCTATGTCAGCATAGTGTGCGTGCATAGCCATGGCATGCAAAGGCTTGCAAATTTTTCATTTGTGCTCTAGCTTATTGCAAATTAATTATAGATCTATGCCTCTAACAATAATATCAGCTTAAGAAATTGCTGTGAAAATTTATTACTTAGGTCGGCGTGACTTGAATACAAGTTTGTCATTGGCTTCATACTTGTACCTGTCTTATAACATTTGACGTTATGTTTCTAGAAACAAACCCACTGCCTACAGGAACCGGGTGGTCCCTGTAGTAAGCTGTCTCAGTCACAACTTTGCGTTTTTGGCTTGCGTATTGCGGCGTATTTATGGCAAGCTGTTATAACATTTATTCCTATTTCTTGATATCAAGAAATGATTTTCTGCTGTAAAACAATGGTTATTCTTGATATCAAGAATTCAATTTCTTGATATCAAGAAGAAATTAATATCAAAACGGCTTGCCATAAATACGCAGCAACAGCAACCCAACTACGCAAAGGTGTGACTGAGGCATTAGGGAATATGATATTTAGTAATCAAATAATCAACTAATTGAATAAATAATTACAAGAAACTTCTTTTACTCACTTGACAAGGATCTACCAAATCTCTGTCCGCAGTATCTACTACCTTGTACAGGCATCCCCTTTCTGTAAAAATAAAGAGTAAAGTCATACGGTATTCACATTTCTGAATGTCCGAAAGCCTAGTTCAGATATTATAGTTATTGACTGACAGGGGGTGTAATATAACATTATTTGGACCGCTGAAGGGAGTTATATTTTCCCGAAGCGCGCAGCGCTGAGGGAAAATATGGTCATGAGGGAAAATATAACTCCCTTCAGGTCCAAAGAATGTTATATACCCCCTGCCAGTCAATAACTGTTATATTAGATAGCTTTTGTTTGTTTTTTGTTGTTGTGGGGGGACAATCTAAATTACGTAAAAATAATATGTCGAGATAGTTCAAGAAAGAAAAAAAAAATCAAAAACAATTTTGGGAAAAAAAAAAGAAAAAAAAAAAAAAAATTCAAAAAAAATAAATTCCTACCCTAAAAAGCATTTTTCGGGAAAGAAACAAAAAATAAAAAAATAAATAAAAAAATTACTCAAAAAAGCATTTTTGGGGAAAAAAAAAAATGTGGAAAAAATAATTTCAAGGGAAAAAAAAAAATTCATAAATTTTTTTAAAAAATAAAAAGACCCTCGGTTATGGTGTAATGTGTGTAATTGGTGACATACAGTCCTCAAGAGGGCGACATGCATTGATTAAAAATATATTCATTTCACCAGCCGGTAAAATATAACACCGAAAAGTGACCGGCCAGGAAAATATAACAATTTGGATCCTCGCAATTGATATCACGTGACGAGCTCTGGACCAATCACATCTCGGTATCTGTCTAAGCTATCTAATATTATAGTATTAATGACTGCTTTGAGAGAAATAGTTGTTTTTATACGCTCAAGGGAAGGTTAGAATTGTGCTATTGCCCCGAGGCGTGCCGAGGGCAATAGCCCAATTGTAACCTTCCCGAGAGCGTATAAAAACAACTATTTCTCGAATATTAAAGCAGTCATTAATACTTTTATATGCCGAAAAAAAATAGACTAAAAAAATAAAAAAACTTTTGTCAAAGATGGGATTCGAACTCTTGCGTACAAAAGGTGATGTAACTAAAGTCAGCGCCTTAATCCGCTCGGCTATCGCGCTCTATTAACATACTAACCAGTTTTCTCTAATATATACATTAAAATGGATTTAAAACGGCTTCGCGTGTTGATGATTCGCAGCTGCTCCATTAATCGGGCCCTTCTTTTACTTTTGCAATGCATATTGGCACGAACTTAGATCAAGATCTATCGGCAGATGTTGTTTTTTTGTTTTTGGAAGTTTATTTTCGTCTTCATGTCAACAATGCAAGATAAAATTGTCGGTAAGATCGATCGAGATTCAATTGTATTGAAATTACCGACCAAATCTTCGCACACGTACGGTATCCTCGATCGCTCAAACCATTTTTTAACATGTAAACCTATGGGGTAACCATGGAGACTGACCTATTTTCCCAATAACCATGGTTATTGGGAAAATAGGTCTGTTTTTACAGGAACAGTTAAAGTTTATGAATGCAATTTCGACCAATCAGATTGCTGGATTACTTAAGTGAGGTATATAAACAGTCATAAACCACAGCAGTTTTGTTTTTTGATGATATACAGAGTTTTTTTCATGACACAAGTGTAAAGCACTACACTTGTAGGACCTTTGTTGAGCGCAGTTGCCATACATTTACATGTAAGAAGGGGACAAAAGCAGCGATTATTTTTAATTTAAGGTTGATACAAGGAAATAATGGACAAGATATGCCACAAGGTGCCTCGATCCAACTGTAAGATGGTAGCCACATAAGAATAATTTTAGCCATTTTGAAAGAGAGATTTACCTCCACGGCATTACTTCATATTGACTTTGTGTATACATGATACATGTACCGGTACATGTATTTATCAGGGATGTAGATTTGAAGAACAGGTGTGTTTTTTTAAAGAGCAAGAAATTTCACACCTTTATGTCGTACTTTAAAGATGTTTGCAAATGTGTGAATTCGGTAGATCTCTGTTTTTGTGAAAATACTTGACCTTTTAATGTGTTTTTAATGAGCCAAAAACACATGTACATGTTGTAGGGTTATGAGAGTATTTAAATCCCATTTTAAACCTGTTTTTTGCTGCTAAAATGGGTCATATTTTGTGGGCAATGTTCTGAAAAGTATTTGGAGATAATTCTCTCTATCCCTCTAATAATCTTGTGTTACGCCTTTGAAAATGAAGTGATAGACCCGGGATTTACCTGACGAAATTATGTAGACTTCTGTGCCGTCTTCAGTGCCGTCTTCAGAAGTCATTTCCAAATTAGAGAAGCGGTCCCCAACCAGGAAGAACTGAACTGTTCCAACTGCAGGGTCACTCATTAGGTTGTAATCACGCTCAAAGTCTGTGTCGGAGTCATTTGGATCCTCGCACTACAAAGGGGGAATATGGTGAAATATGAGTTAAAGTAGAAAAAGATTGGTTGAATGATGAATATGAAGCATACGGTACATTATTTGAACTTCTTTTTTTTTCATTTTAAGATTTTGTATTCACTATTCATTTCATATAAAACTCATCCAAAATATCTTTTTTTGTGTTTTTAAAAGAAAAAATGATTCCATTATATAGGTGTAACACAAAATATAATTCTCAGTGTTCTCAATTTAACTTGGACAAAGGTACAGAGAAATAAGGTAGGTGGGGAAAGTAAAAATTTAGGATACAAATTTCATTAAGCAAAATAGGTGAATAGGGAGCCTATGACAATGCAGCCTCATTACAGAGTTGCCAATTAGCCTTCATTAGAAAGTGATCTTCATATCATTAATAAGGTTGTCTGACTTTTCTACTTTTTATAGCAAAATGACTGTATTCCTTTAGAAGGAGAAGGATGAGTTCCGGCAAAAATGAAGAATTATTTGTGAACTTTCTAATTCCTGTTATGTTAATTTGGAAGAATATCACAGTAGAAATGTCCCCTAAAATAAGTTGCTCTTCAAATGCCCTCCTATTCAAAATATGACGAAAAATATCTGACAAGCTTGGAATAAACTGTCATGGTACATGTGTGTGTAGTTCAATTCACTCATTTCTGGTCTCTTCTCATTTGAGGGATTTGAAAACCTCACAGTAAACCGACATTTATTCTTATATATTTCATACATACACATAACCAACCTTACCCAAATGCTTCCAGATATTTTACTTTCAAATAATAATTGCAAGACCGGTATTCAAACTTTATCTTCAAAGATGAACTTACATTCAAACCAGGCCTTGGTGACTTAACCACTCCATCATATACTCTCCAAAGATCATTGGTATTTGATACACCATCAGCCCCGAAGAAATCACCCCCATTAAATGTCTCATCGATTGAAGTCAGTGTGAAATTACAGAGAGCTGATTGAGGTGCGGCATTCCTGAAGAAAATTACAAATTTATAATACAATCAAATTTGGGGTATCATAGCCATTTCTCAGGAGAAAATACCAAACTCATATAGTGATATAATAATAAATATTTGGACATTGCAGCCACTGCCCCCCCCCCCCTTCCAAGGGTTGGTTGAATTTGGAGAAGGGCATACAGATTATTCAGAAATGATTCATGCTACAAAATAACAGAATAATGGCACTAAATTTTGCAATCAACAAAACGTTATGTAAGAGATATGGACCCCTTTGATATTTTCATCAAAATTCAGATGTTATTAGTTTTGTATTTTTCAGTAGATCAAGAAGCTACCTCGAGAAGAAAAAAAGAAGAGGTGGTAAATTACTACTGTACTTCTTGGTAACATTTTTAGGTTCATATATTGTAAGTTTTTATTTTTTTAGTAGATCAAGGAGCTACCTTGAGTAGAAAAAAGAAGAGCTTTTTTGTTACATACGGAGGCGTAGTGGTGGTTTTTGTGTAATGATCTCAATTCAATATGGCTGGGTATAAACAATTAAATGTTATGATTTGAGGTTTAAAGTTGCAAAGAGAAATGGTAAAATAACTTCCGGGTTCATATATTTTTAGTAAGTAAAACATAGAAGGGAAAGATAAAGATGTCTACATTATGGGTGATTTTAATATTAACTTGCTGAATTGTTCTACTGTAAATCAGGTTAATTACTTTGTAAATATTTTGTAGAATAAATCATATCGTCCATTGATTGATAAGCCTACACATATTTGTAAATCATCAACAATTCTTATAGATAATATACTTACGAATTTTTGCAGTAATGATATTAGTTCTGGTATATTTTGTAACGATATAACAGACCATTTGCCAATTTTTTCTGTTACTCAAAATAATCTCAAAGAAAATAGAAATACTAATGCTAATAAATCCAGTTTGATGATGTTGAACTCGCATATGATCGTTTTTTAAATAAGTTTAAAGGTAGCACAAAGTTTTGGGAAATTTTGAAAATTGGGTGGATAGCGATTCTTTACAATTTTGATATATTTGGATGCCCCTGTGGATGTATTATAAGCACTAGAAAATGTAGCCCCTAAAATACTTCTAATTTTTGAGAAAAATTGAATATAAAACGTTACCGGTGCTCCCGGTAAATTTTGATAAATTTCAAATAGCGCCTACGGCCGTACAATAGGAGCTGCGACCATGAAAATCTCAGATCATTTAGATGTGATATATAATTTTCAAACAGGAATAGCTAATCGGTCAATTTTAGTCAAGAAACATTGTTTTATAAGCTTAATTAATATCTTGACCTTGAGAGGGAGCTATACAACATAAAGAGTTTATTATTAACAATTTGATAACTTTAGACTTGATTTCAACCTCGACAACAATCACTGAATATTGTATGATCGCATATGCTTCCAATATGTTCATTTGAACAAAATTCATGACCCCATATCAATACCTTGTATTACCTTTAATGATGTTTTTAGTAATAAATGCTTGAAAGGTAATCATAAAAAGAATTCTTCACCAAGAAAATCGTGGAGTACTTTTTCTTTATTAAGATGTATCAATAAAAAACAGGCTTTATAAAGAATATTGTAAAACAGAAAAATCAAAACTGATTTTATTATTCACTATATAAATCTATGTATCTACTTAATATTTGCTAGTTTATCTAAACTACGCTACCGTCGAGAACTCTTTAAAAGCGTCACACTCGCGCATGCCCCACCCCCATACATCGCCTTCCCAGGATTCGCGTGCGCATCGCACGCCCGCCATTCATCCTCTTTCACAAGCCTCCAAAGACAAAGCTTCGGACATGTTGCCCGCAAGGAGAGGGGACGGAGGGAGGGACATAGGAAGATTTATATACCGGTAGTAAATAATAAAATCAGTACTGATTTTTCTGATTAACCACAATAAATCAATGTATCTACCTATTATTTGCTAGACCAGCAAACAAATGGACCGGGAGGCATGTCCCGAAAAAAAGGAGATTACTGGGGAACAATGGCAGCCGAAGCCGCTCGCAGGGACGCAGTTGCAAACAACACCTCCCCAGAGGTGACGTCCCAAAGATAAAAAGACGTACAGGTATTGGGAGACTGCCAAAACGCGGCCTTCAGAAAGAGGACTGAAGAGAACCTCCATTGGTCCGGAGGATGCCAACTTATTCTTGGCAATGTAGGAAGGTCGTGGGACCAACCGAACTCCCCGCCTTTCCCACCTGATGGGGCCGGGGGAGGTAGACAGCGCATGGAGCGCGCGTACTCCTCTGCTGTCCAGAAGCTATTGCCATAAGGAAAACTGTTTTCACCGTCAAGCGAATAAGTGAGGCCTTAGACAAAGACTCAAAAGGAGGCTTTGCCAAAACGTCTAAAACCTTCGGAAGACTTGAAGCACGAGCCAGCTTCAGGAACGCTGGCCACTGCAGAAAAGAATGCTGTAACTTGTACAAGAAATGGGAGATAAACCCCCGAGCCGTCCAGACCCAAAATGAGTGGCGCGAGGGCCGAACGGTAAACATGAAAAGAACCTTACCCTTGTCAAACAATTAAATAAAAATCCAGCTATGACACCTACCGAAGTCTACGGGGGAGACCCCGAGGTCTTCACACCCAATGGAGCAGGGGACCAAACAAGAGTTGTAAAGTGTCCTCGTGGATCCTTACGACTCTAAGACTATAAACTATGAGGCTCTCTCAGAGATTCCAGAAGTCATAGCGTACTCCCCGACACCGGCCCAGCGGTCAGAGAGAGTATGTGGTCAGAGAGAGTATGTACCGCGGGACGATGACGTAAAATCCCAGACAGAAACTGGGACAACAGGTCCGGTCTCAGCGGGAGAGGGAACAGATATCCGCAGCAAAAGGGACAGAAACCAGAAACACTGAACTGAAACGAGCCGGAAACAAAAAAACTGACAGGGAGCCCGTGGCCCCAAACATCAGCGACAGACACTGATTACGCTCCAAGTGAGCTGGGGAACTGTGTCCACGAGATAATTCCCCCGAAAAAGGCGGCGCAACAGCCCTCAAAGGCTGGTCAGCCACATGACTAGGCTTCAATGAGAAGCTATCACAGATGGCAAAGCCATCTGCGAGAAGAGTCCCAGACATAGCCGTCATTTGGGAAAACCCCAAACCCCAGAGGGGAAGGGTGAGTCCCGATCCAGCTACCGTACCCACTCCTCTCTTGGAGGGGTAGCAAAAGAAGCTGGAGAAGAGAGCTTAGCCATCACCAACGGGCAAAAAGCCCAAGGAGAAATGCCAACCACCGAACAGAGCTTCTCCGAGGCTGAACTCGGCGAAACGGTCCCCAAACCAAAACAGGTACCGGCTTATACCAGACAAGCGTAATCGGGCTTCAGACCAGAAAGATGGGACTAGGGTAAACCCTGTTGCCCACCAAGATACTTTGACACCACGCAAAGCCCAGTCTGAACGGTTGGAGAGCAGGCAGGCTGAGGTCTAAAAATCACCACAGCTCACAAAAACCAACTACAAACTTCTTACCCCTTGTCGAAGCGTCGGGTGACAATACTTGCTCTAGGGCCTTGCTAAAACTGAAAGGTTTAGCTAAATAGGCTCAGCATGGTCACCACTAGACCATGCCTCACCGCATTAGAGGCTGCAAGAGCTTGGTGCGAAATGCTTACGTGTGGTCTACAACCTTCTGTCGAGTGGCGAACTCAACTGAAACCCGTTGCAGATGCCGAAGACGACCACAAGAAAAAGCCCCCGTCAACCAGATGGGCTAGGGGCACCACTCCCCACAGGTAAGGGAAGGTGCCCAAAGCTGCTGCCGACTCCCTATCTGGAGGATCGTCAAGGACAGGAGCAAAAGGCCCAACTCCCACCAACCGGCCGACGGCCTATGGTGGAAGGCCAACAGCACCAAGCAACCCGGACCTAAAAGTGTCTCGGATGCCGGAGCAGCAACACCCGTGAAATCTGAATGAACCCAAAGCCAGGTGTGACCAGGGCCGGCTCATTACTAGCTGAGGCACAGGAAGGGGCAGAAACTGAGCCTCCGCCCGAACCCAAAATGCCTTTCGGGTTTTTTGGTGGCTGGTATCCCCAGTCACCAAAATCATCAAGAAGCCACAAAGCCCAGCCTGAGCGGCTAGAGAACACACCGACTGAAGTAATACTTAACTCAGTCTTCTCTACCTTAACCCAGTCTTCTCTACCTTGACCCAGTCGGCAGCTGGACGTCAGAACGCTTGCGCTTCTTACCCGCAGGTACAGGAGAAGAAGCGAGCATTGCGGCCATACTAGACTTCGTAAGCCCAGAAATAAGCTCAGTGTGACCGGGACCGACCCGCTCCACTGCACCAGAGGCTCAACAATCAAAATACGGGAGCCTCTGTGAGATCAGGATCTTTGCGTTTCACGAACGTGGATCAAACCACGTTGTGGGTAAAACCGGGGTGAGTGTGTGTGTATGTGTTGGATGTGTCCGCTTGTGATTATTAATAATTTTTACTTATAATTTGTTAATTTTGTAAAAGGGGCACCAGTCCACAATATCTTGATCTGTTTTGGTTGCCCCTAATAATATGTTAACTTTATACATCTATATGATTGTCAACATGTTCTATTGTATTGTACTATTTTGTTCATATCATTGAATAAAAATGAATTGAATTGAAAGTAGATGATAACAATTCTTCCTTAGGCTGATTCATTACAATAAAGCATGTATTCATGGTATAAAGATAGTTGGTTAACTTCTGTTTAAATTCTTACAAAATATATTGAAAAAAAATCATAAAATTATTATGTCATCAGTTGAAACAAATTACTTTAAAAAGTATACACATAGAGCATGACTGTAAAAATAGGAAAGCTTAAAAGGAGGGAAGAAAGAATAAGGCATAATAATGTATAGAGAGGAAGGAGGAAAAAAGCAAGAAGAAGTATTGGGTAATTAATGAGTAGAACAAAAAGGAGAAGAGAGGGGAGGAGAAGAAGGGTGTGATTTAAAGAAGAAGAGAAAGAGATGGAAAAACAGAAAAAAGAAAGAGAGTCTTTGGGAGAGAAAATGACGGGAAAGAATAGCCTTTATAGACAAGTCATTAATCCAGGAGCGTTGTATCGGTCCACTGCGGTTCTGACCTAGCATTGTATGACATTAGATCCTACAAGAGCTAATCTACTGATTGCGAATGTAATATTCTTACATAAACTGGTATTTACATGACAAATATTTTCTGGACTTTTTATTGGTTTCTTTTAAAATGACAAACACCTCTGCTTCCTACTTCAAAAGACATTAGTTATGATTCACGGATGCTGAAATTTATATCTTCGTTCAGTACAAAACATTCTAAATTTCTCTCTCTGGCTTTCAAAATATTTGGCTTAAAGGGTACAGTAACTTCTATTTAAAAAGTTTTTGTGAAGTGGGCATAACATTGCGAGGTGTCACTCTGAAACCAGGGAGTTCTGCCAAAATGGTTAGGGATTTTTAAAAAAAAAAATCATTTCTTTTCAACTCGTTTACAACATAAGGTAACACGCTATTATATCTGTAACTAAATCTACCTTAAAATCTACTGTATATCTACATCACCATGCAAGCCGATACTTACAAGCAGCATCTAAATCTACCTTGTTGTAATGCCTCTGAACAAGCGTTCAGGATATGTATGAGGGTAGCCTTACAACTAGATAGGGTGAATTTTTCATTAAATTGTCTTGCCCCATAATTTCAGATTTCCTGGAATTGGAAGACAATCGATCGTTGCTCGAGTGGCAAAACTAAGGAGGCCTTTTGGAAGACCATACATAATTTCTCTCCATGTTAGGTCACTCTCTTTCTCTTCCAACAACTGCATATTTCACTGAGAAAGACAAGAACATTTATCAAAGCCCATTACAAAACTTACCGTTCATTAGTGAAAATGGCATGGATCATTGTACAGTTTATATCACTGCAGGCAAAGTCCTCTGAAAGAAAGAAAAAAAATTGTCAACTCTGAGAAAACAAGAGTACGGTACTCAAGATTATACTGATACATCATTGATATCTATGTATATTGTAATATATTTCCTTCTAAACAATAAACTTAGTCAGCTTGGATTTCCATTTGCAGCCTTTTTAGTTGAATAGAATAAATCTTCCCCAAATATTCTTTTTTTCTCACTACCATATCCTCTTCTCCTCCTCTTTCTCCTCCTCATCATCACCATCACAATCATAATCATCATCATTATCGTTATCAGCATCATCATTATCATAATCATCATCGTCATTATCACCACCACCACCACCACTACCACCACCGCAACCATCTGCACATCACGGACACCACCATCATGATCTTAATAACCCATTACCTTCACATCGTTATCACTACCATCATCATCACCACCATCTCATCATTCACCCAATTCTATTACCAGTATCTCCACATCATCATCATCCCCATCATTGTCACCACCACCACACTATCACTTTAGCATCACCATAACCATCTTCACATCACGTGCACCGCCATCATGATCGTAATAATCCAAACCCTTTACATCAATATCACTACCGTCGATCATCATCACCATATCATCATCACCACCATCTTATCATTCACCCAATTCTATTACCAGTATTTCCCAGTGGCGTAGATCCTTACTTAATACTTATTGTAAGGGGGGGGGGGATGAACGTATAGATCATCCCCCTAAACAATATGTAATAAGTAAGGACCTCTGTCACTGATATCTCTGCATCGTCATCATCACCACCACAACCATCTTCACATCAACACCACCATCTTATCATTCACCAAATTCTATTACCAGTATTTCCCAGTGGCATAGACCCTTACTTAATACCTATTGTAAGGGGGGGGGGGGATGAATGAATAGATCATCCCCCTGAACAACAGGTAATAAGTAAAGATCTCTGCCACTGATATCTCCACATCGTGATCATTACCACCACAACCATCTTCACATCATCATCATCACCATCATCATCACCACCACCATCTTATCATTCACCCAATTCTATTACCAGTATTTCCCAGTGGCGTAGATCCTTACTGAATACCTATTGTAAGGGGGGGGGGGGGGGGTGAATGAATAGATCATCCCCCTGAAAAATAGGTTATAAGTAAAGATCTCTGCCACTGATATCTCCACATCGTCATCATCACCACCACAACCATCTTCACATCATCATAACCATCTTATCATTCACCCATTTCTACTACCAGTATCTCCACATCATCGTCATCACCATCATTATCATCACCATCACCACCACAAGGACTAACACCACCATAACCATCTTCACATCACGTACGCGCCATCATGATCGTAATATTCCATACCCTTCACATCAATATCACTACCGTCGATCATCATCACCATATCATCATCACCATATCATCATCACCACCATCTTATCATTCGCCCATTTCTATCACCAGTATCATTATCATCATCGCCATCACCATGATGATCCAGTCCTCATCGTCATCATCATCATTGTCGACCTCATCACTCTTCTATACTGTTCATACTTACGAATATCATTATAATAGAAAGTAGAGTCCTCAGTTGTAATGGAGCACACAAGGCGCTGCTTCAAGAAACTGGTGAGGGTCTGAGTACTTGAAACTGCTACCCCAGCATCATTCTGCAAAGCAAACAAGAACGGGTATGTTATGAGGTGTCGTGCTATAGTGGTTCATTCACTGACTCTTAATCCAAGGGTCCAGGGTTCAAATCCCAGCACAGCAGGGACGTCAATTGGCAAGATTTTAATACACATTTTCCACTGTCCACCCAGGTGTTATATGCGTACCTGGTAGGATGCGAAATTCATTGCAGTTTGCTCAGCATTGTGAGTGTTTACACAATGGTGCCTGGTGAGAATGCTCCCCAGTGAGTGAAGAATGTGCTTTGTGCTGGCAAGCCTGAATCTAGTGACCCAGTTTAATACTTATATCTGTAAAGCACTCGGACACATCGTTGATGTATTAGGTTAAAAAATTACATTTGACACTTTATGCTACGGTCAAAAAGGTTCATACGAACGATAATTTTGTACGAATCTCCGTTTTTCCATTGTCTTCCTGAATTTCCAGTACGGCGTTCGTAGCAGTTCGTAATGGCATTTGTGACCGAGGCTTACGATAGTTAATAAAATGACCAAAAACTTAGAAGTCGCATCAGACTGAAGGTTTCATTTTGTACAAATTGTTAATGCCAAATATATCTTGAGTAAGTTTTATGAAATTTCTTTTCATCCTGTTCTTTGAATATTTGAAAAGATTTTCACTTTACATTAAAAAAAACTAGATGGAACTTCGACTGCGTGCAGTCGAAAATGATGCCTCCGTCATAGAGCAAGTTTACAAACCAAAACAGTAGAATTTTTTCAAATTCAAGTTTTATTGTAATCCATTAACAGGTTCTCAGAATATCGTGATTACAAGCAATTTCTCATATACATATATGACCCTTTGATCTTTGACCTCATGACCCTAAAATATACTCGGTTCATTGGCTCTGCAAGATGTCCTGAGTTAAATAGTAATCCATCTGTCAGTTCTAATGAGAATGCGTTCACAAGCTATTTTTGCATACATAATGAGCCCATGAAATTTGACCTTTGACCTCATGACCCAAGAATCTACTCAATTCATTGGCTCTGCAAGATACAAACATGATCTAAGTTTGGCAGGAATCCATCAATCTATTCTAATGATAATGCGATCACAAGCTATTTTTGAATACATAATGAGCCGCATGACCTTTGACCTTGACCTCATGACCCCAAAATCTAATCAGTTCATCGGCTCTGCAAGATACATACATGACCAAAGTTTGGCAGGAATCCATCTATCGGTTCTTGAGATAACGCGATCACAAGCTGTTTTTGCATACATAATGAGCCCTGTGACCTTTGACCTTTGACCTCGTGACCCCAAAATCTAATCAGTTCATCGGCTGTGCAAGATACATACATGACCAAAGTTTGGCAGGAATCCATCAATCGGTTCTTCAGATAACGCGATCACGAGAACGGGAAGTACGGACGGACGGACAACCCGAAAACATAATGCCTCCGGCTACTTCGTAACGGAGGCATAAAAAGTAATGCAGAACATAACAATGTCACTATGCATCACACCTAAGATTCCAGATCATCTCTTTAAACCTGGAGTCACTGATATTGGAGAGAAAAAAGTTTTCATTCAAAAAATGAAAACTCATTGAATATTTTCAATAATAACTGAAACATTATATAACTCAGGCCTTATTCACATACGATCTGCCCAAACCGCTGCATTTTTTTATATGATGACAAACAGTGCAATTCAGGTCACATTTGCTGGTGATATTTGTTTTATTCTTACCAAACAGGGCCTCATGGAAGACCCCCAAATTGGTGATATGTGCCACCCTATAAAATAAAAAATCTATGACACAAAGCTCAGTGACTAGGCGCAGGACCTTTGCTGCGTGCAGTTGGCATTCATTTACACATTCAAAAAGGGCGGCATTTTTGGGGGGAGGGGGGCGGCAGTCTAATGAGTCATATTTGAACAAGCCTTTATTCATTTTGTTTTAATTCGATTCAATTTAAAAAAAAATTATACCATGCTATAAACATGAAAACAAAAAAAATTAACATTTGTCCAGCTTATCATGCTTATACAATATACCGGTAGTACCAGTCATGAAAATCGATACGCAAAAAGAAATTGGGAAAACAGAATATTTGTTTGGCTCATTATATAAGAATAAATTTGGTGGTCCAAGGACTCGTTTAAAGATAAATTAATTTGAGTTCTGATCATGCAATTGCATTGTGAAATAAGCGATGTGGAATCGATCAGAAAAATTTGATCATCTAGCATATATTGGTGTGTACTGCAAGGTTCTGGAATCATTAAAATTATAAGAAATTTGGCCCAGTCTTTGTTAAGTTACAAGCACTGTACACAGAAATACATATCTGTCGTCCCAATTGTTATGATGTTACATGCCATATTTAGAATATACATGCATTTGAAGAGCCATGTTTTTCAGAGAACAATTTTTTATCTGTTGTTCTTCCACACTTGCATAATACATTGATAATGCTCACAAATTATTTTTCACCTCTTCCCAGAACTCCAATCTTCTTTTTAAGTGCAATAATTTATTAAACATAGGCATACTTTTTTAATGATTTGGGCAAATTTAGGCAGGCCCTGAGATTTGTTTTTAATACGCACATGTGACGTCATTTAATGTCAAGAGTGGACTGAAATTTAGGGAATTAGTAGTGAAAACTTGATTGTAATTGGATGGTGCGATTTTTGAAAGAAAGTCTGAGCATAAAAAACGTGGAGAATGAAAGAACAAGTAAAGAAAAAAGATTATGACAAAATCAAGAGGTGATCTACAGATATGATGATTAGCATGATGATGAATCAATGATTATGACGATGATGATGCTGCTGCTGATGATGATGATGATGATGATGATGATGATGAAGATGATGATGATGATGATGAATTGATGATGATGAAGATGAAGATAATGATGATGAATCGATGATGAATTGATAATGATGATGGTGGTGATGATGATGATGATGATGATGATGATAATGAATTGATGATGATGATGATAAAGGTGATGATGATGAAGGTGATAATGAAGATGATGATGACAATGTTGATGATGAGGATGAATTGATGATGATGGTGATGATGATGATGATAATAATAATAAAAATAGTGGGTTCTTGTATTACGCCATAGTGTCAGGCAAATTCTGACTCCTGGCGCTCCATTACCATTACCCCGTCTTTAGCACAGTTGCCAAACAACCTCAGAACAACCTCATCACAGGTGCAGTATTTGTGGATTTATCTGCGGCTTATGACACTGTCAATCACCAAAGGCTACAGACAAAACTTCATGACATCACAAATGACCTCAAACTCACCAGATTCATTCAGAAGATGATGCAGAACAGACGCTTCTTTGTCGAACTTGATGGGCAGAAGAGCAGATGGCGGAAACAGAAAAACGGTCTCCCCCAGGGTGGCGTCCTGGCGCCAACACTCTACAACATCTACACTGCTGACATCCCTTCAACAGAGAACACTCGAAACTTCATCTATGCAGATGACACCTGCATCACAGCCCAGCATAGTACCTTCGAAGCTGTTGAACTCCATCTCAACACAGCGCTCGCAAGCCTTTCGGAGTACTACAGAGCAAACTACCTACGGGCAAACCCATCCAAGACTCAGGTGTGTGTTTTCCATTTGAAGAACAGGGAGGCAAAGAGAGAACTGAAGCTAAAGTGGAACAATGTGCAACTTAACCACTGCGAGCATCCAGTGTATTTAGGTGTAAAACTCGATCACACTGTATCCTTCAAGAAACATATCGAGAAGACAATAGGCAAAGTAGAATCTCGAAATGCCATCATCGGGAAGCTAGTATCTTCACACTATGGCGCTGACCCCAAAACTGTACAAAGTGCAGCTGTTGCTCTATGCATGTCATCCGCAGAATATGCTTGCCCATTTTGGAGCAGATCAGCCCATGTGAAAAAGCTTGACACCACACTCAATAACACATATCGAAAGATAACAGGCTGTCTGAAACCAACAAAAGTTGAGGAGATATATCACCTCGCTGGCATTGGATCTCCTAACCAAAGGCGCACTAACACCTGCCTAAAGGAACGGATGAAGCAGGCGACAGATGACATACACATGCTACACAGATACTTACAACCCCACAAACGACTTATATCCCGACACAGCTTCCTCGATTCTGTCCCACCACCTGAACAGAATCCTCCACCATCAGTCAAGCCCGTACTCATCAAAGGTCTTAACCTGAAGTGGCCGGAGTGGCAATGCCTAAATCGAATGCGGACGAGAATGGGACGGTGTAAGGTCAAGATGGCAAGATGGGGCTATGCCCATGAAGGAGATACTCTCTACGACTGCGGAGAGGCTCAGACGATGGACCACCTCTTGCAGTGCGGCAGAACGGGTTGCACAGATGAAGACCTGTCCCTTGTTAATGAAACGGCCATTGCAGCAATCGAGCGATGGAAGAACTTAATTTAATTTAATTTACTTCTAATTAAGGAACTTTACATAAATTATTATCTTGATCTAAGGAGACATGAACGAACGACGAGCACAGTTGCCATCAATTACAGCGCTTAATCTATTGATTCGTGCCAGGTACTGACTTACATTACCTGACCAGAGAATGAGAAGATAATACATTTTTTTTAGGGAAATTCAGTCATTCAATTTAGAATGCAATCTTCAGAATGTAGAAAAATCACCAATCACCTGAAAAAATAATGTGTATAGCTACAATGTATCTAGCAACCTCAAGAAAACTTTACCTGGCATTCTATAGGTTAATGGAAAAGGAATATGAAGAATACCCTAAATGCCGCTCACAAAAGTCACGTCTATTTTGGGTTCCCTTCCTATTCATTTTAACAGGCCTGCGTCAACTAGTCTACTCAACATGTAGTTTTTATGTTTACTGAAAAGTGTATTTAAACGGCAATATCTCCTTGTAATAATAATAATAAAAATAGCTATTTCTTACACAGTTACATGTATATAGCGCTTTTCCGGACCGAAGGCCCTATCAAAGCGCTTTACAGATATATATTATTACCCCGGTCATTGGATTCAGGCTTACCCGCACACAATGTATGCACATTCTCCACTCCCTGGGGAGCATTCCAGCCAGGCGTCATTTTTACAAGCGCACACATGCTAATCTAAGCACATTAGCTTTTGCATCCTACCGGGTACCCATTTAACACTTGGGTAGAGAGTAGCAAATGTAGATCAATGTCTTGCCAAAGGACATTAGTGCCGCGGTGGGACTTGAACCGCAGACCTTGTGATCCACAGTCCGGTGACATGTAGAAGTCATATTCAAAGCTCATACTTTGAATACAGTATACATGTAGCAACAGCAAACCTTTCCATCAAGACTGAATCCTGTTTTGGTAATTGGTAGTTTTTAAGGATAAAATAAGGGATTTTGAACTTGCACTCTTCAATGTGTTCCAACTTTTAGGCAAATCAAAGATCTTCCTGTGGACAATAGATCCCCTACAACACAACTGAGAAAACTGACCTTGCAGATCCTGGCAATTCGGCTGTAGTAGGTGTCTATGGAGGGAGCTTGGCCTGCGCTTAAACTTGCAAACTCCTGTGCTGGCTCACGGAAGAGGAAGTACACATAATCACCATTGACAAAAGGTTTTCCTACAAAGTGCGCCTCTGAATTCATGACAAAGAAAAAAATGGAAATTATAATGACGATGGTGATGATACTAATATGATATTTACAACAAAAACATCAACAATAATAATAATAATAGTAATAATAAGTAATACATGAAGGAGAAGAAGAAGAAGGAAAAGAAGAAGAACAAGAAGAAGAACAAGAAGAACAAGAACAAGAAGAAGAAGAACAAGAACAAAAACAAGAAGAACAAGAAGAACAAGAAGTACAAGAAGAAGAAGGAGAAGAAGTAGAAGAAGGAGAAGAAGGAGAAGAAGAAGAAGAAGAAGAAGAAGAAGAAGAAGGAGAAGAAAAAAAGAAGACTTGTATATGTGTGATATCAACAACTATATTGCACGTGGGGAAAATACCACAATCAACTACAAATTCATAGCAGCTAGTATTCCAGAAAGTGTTAGTATTGTCAAATGTATTAACATTCCACATACTTTGGATGGATATGTTTATTACCGTAAAACAAGTACATGTACCTAATGCCTATTTTAGAAGCCTACGTTGCTTATTAAAATTTATACTGTATTATTATATATTTAAAAAAATACCTTGCATGCCTGCCCTTCTGAATCTTGATCAGGATGATGCCTACATGTATATTGCTAGTTATACTCAAATATCATTTAATATTAATATATTTATATTCTTGAATGGCTCTATGCTCATTTCATGCAACTCATGTAATAATGGTTCTAGGATTATACTTCTGCTGGATGTTCAGGGTTGAGGAGATATCAATCCTTTGTACACTGTAGCATTTTGTTAAAATCAACTGTTAAATCAAATTTCTGATATTCAATCTTAATTTATCTTACCTTTTTTATAGTAATTTGGGTCTCTTCCCCCCCCCCCCTTTTTTTTATTATGTGCAATACTTTATGTATAGAATTTTTAATTATGCACTGGGAGTAGCATGTGTGGGGGCACAAAACCTCCGGGCAACAGTGTTGAACTTCACTTTTGTGCACCCTGACCCACTTGCTGCTCCCATATCTCTTTGAATGTGTTTGTTCATTCTTACTATGTACTTGCATTTTGCCATGCTGTATTGTATTTGTGCTTTCTTATGAATGGTCAAATAAATAATAATAATAATAAATGTAGATAGTCTTCAGACAAAAATTAGAAATAAATCAAACCAAAGAGACGTACTTACCCGTAGCAACCATTTTATCAGAATCTGTCCTTGTGATAACTTTGTTTCCTCTATCTCCGTCTGCCTTGCCAATGATGGACTTTTTATCTGCATCGCTTTTCACAAGTCCATAGTAAAAGTTACCACCTGTAGAAGAAACACAGTTTAACATATCGATCGTGAATTGGGTATAATTTCTACAATTTTGAATGAATAGTTGCCAATCATTTACATGTACCTGTAGCTCCTTTTCCACCGCATGTAAAGCACTGTGAGACGCCATCCTTGGGTCAGAGTTCAAGTTCGTATATATATATATATATATATATATATATAAATTAGCAAGCAGTGGCAGTGTAAATTCAATAAATGCATACGATTCCAAAATAAATTATGTGCTCAAACTCTGTTTGATATTTGAAGTGGTCTACTATAGGTGATGATTTTATTGTTTGAACGAAGGTCACTGATGATGCTAGAAGAGTCTACCTTTAAAAACAAGTCTCACAAGACACTCCTCAACATACTTTGGCACTCTGATGTTGACCAACTATGTGGACCAGTAAAATATTACACCTTCTTTTTCATTTATTTCTTTTTCTTTCTGCTAGTTGCCACATGTTTTGAACAAGAATTGAATACTTATAAATCAGACCGTCTCGACATTTCGTTCGTTTGTGTCTCCTTAGATCAAGATTAATGTATCTTGATCTTCAGAGTAGTTGATACAACCGGCCGTGTCAGACACGTTGCCCCAGGGTGCGAGATAGGACTCTTGTAGTGTGCCCCCATTTAAAACAATTATACAATAACAGTTAACATTACATTTAATTAATAGTATGAAACTATTAAAATTACTCTCATGTTACGGGAAAAAATACTATATATATATATATTATAAATCAATTGATTTGGTCGATCCGGGTTGATGGCGGCGTTGCTTTATATATCCTTAAAAGACTGAATTATACCGTTCTAGATAATCTCTCAACATGCAATAATATTATAGAATCCCTTTTTATTGAAATCGTGATTCCCGGTAATAAGAACATAATAGTCGGCGTGATATATCGACCCCCGAGTTCCGATGCACACGAATTTTTATTGTATTTATCTGACACATTACAAAACGCCAGTTTCAACAATAAAGATTGTTTTTTGATGGGCGACTTTAATATAGACCTGTTAAAGCACTTACATAGCAATGTTTCTCAAGAATTTCTCGAAACAATTTTGTCTGCTTCTTTCTTACCACTTATTTCCAAGCCAACTCGTGTTGCAAATACATCTGCTACTTTAATTGATAATATTTTTTCTAATGTTACTCCACATTTTGATTCTTACATTATTCTTTCGGACATATCTGACCATTACCCCATTGTGACTCACTACACGGTTTCAAAGCCATTTAACAACAATGGTCCTTACCCAAGTAGACGTAAAATAACTGTAGAGAATTTAGCTCGCCTTGGCGCTAATCTCGAAAATACTGATTGGTATAGTGTTTATTCCGAAAATGAAATTAATTGTTCTTATGAAATGTTCTCTAGTATATTAAACAACCAATTAGATACTGACATGCCGAAGCAAAAAGTCAAACATGGTTATAAGAAAACGCCCAAACTCCCTTGGATTTCTAAGTCTATATTGCGATCAATAAATCGGAAGAATAACCTTTATTATAAATATAAAATAAAAGGCACTGAGCAATCAAGGAGAAAATATACATCATATAAAAACATTTTGACTCGGATTATTCGATTAGAAAAGAGAAATTACTTTGTAAATCGTTTGAAACTTTTTAAAAATGATATGCAAAACACTTGGAAGGTAATCAAACAAGCAATGAACCAAGTTAATAATAAATCTGAGGTAAATAAGATCAAATTTGATAATGAGATTGTTGAAGACCCAAAAGACATAGTTAATATTTTTAATACTTATTTTTCTTTAATAGGTGATAATCTCGCCAAAAACATTCCGCCTTCAAACACAAATTTTGTGGAGTTTTTAGGCCCCCACAATCCAAATTCTATTTTCTTTGTTCCAACTAATAGGCAAGAAATTATGAAAATTGTTTCTAGTCTGAAAGATAAGAAAAGTTCAGGATATGATGGAATCAATAATGTCATACTAAAATCCATTATTCCGTTTATTGCAGATCCATTGGTTCACATCTTTAATATATCACTTTTACATGGTAAATTTCCTAATTCTATGAAAATAGCCAAAATTATTCCGTTATTTAAAAAGGGTGATAAATTGGATGTGGGTAACTACCGCCCGATTTCTTTATTATCTTCATTTTCTAAAGTTTTGGAAAGAATAATCTATATCCGGATGATGTCCTTTTTGAAAAAATATGATGTATTTTCAAACTTCCAATTTGGTTTCAGAGAAAAGCACAGCACCGTTCATGCTTTAATGTCTTTTGTTGAGAAGGTTGCCCACGCAATTGATACATCGTCACACACTGTAGGTATATTCCTGGACTTCTCCAAGGCCTTCGACACGATCAATCACGAAATTTTACTTTACAAACTATCTCACTATGGTGTACGTGGAAAGGCCTTGGAGTGGTTCAGGAGTTACCTCTCTAACAGAAAGCAATATGTACACTTAAACGATCATGCATCTGAATTATGCAATATTAGTTGTGGTGTCCCACAAGGTAGTCTGCTAGGCCCGCTTCTCTTTATTCTTTATATAAATGACTTTTGTAAATCGTCTAACTCCCTGTCGTTTATTTTATTTGCAGATGATACTAATTTATTTTTTTCACACAAAAATCCAAACGTCCTCGTTGATAAAATCAATGCCGAGTTATTAAATATATTGCAATGGATACAAGCAAATAAATTGTCACTTAATCTCCAGAAAACAAACTACATGCTATTTAGTAACTCTTTGGATTCATTACCCTCTGACATTATTTTTGACAATACCCCTTTGAAACATGTCCCTCTTACCAAATTCTTGGGTACCACACATTGATAATATTTGTAAAACCATTTCGCGCAATATTGGTGTTATTAATAGACTAAAATTGTACTTACCGCAATCATCATTATTTATGCTGTATTCTTCATTGATCTTGCCATATTTGAATTACGGTCTTCTAGTTTGGGGCAATACACATCATACATTGTTGGAAAGAGTTCTATTGCTGCAAAAGAGAGTTATTCGTATTATCTGTAATGCCCCCATACGCTCCCATACGGATCCTCTGTTTTTTGAAAATAACATCTTAAAAATTAAGGATTTGTACTTATTTCAGCTCGGTCAATACTGCCCTCTGTGTTCAATGATATGTTTCTTATAAACCATGCTGTTCATAGATATCCCACTCGACAATCCGATGAGTTTCACTTACCTCTTTTGAGAACATGTTCTGCACAGAACACGTTCATTTTTGAAGGCCCTAAATTTTGGAATACTTTGCATAACGATTTGAAAACTTCCCCTTCACTAATTGCTTTTAAAAAAAAGTTAAAATTTTCCTTATTACAATCTTATATTTAGAAAATTATTGTGATAGAACACCTCCTTCCCAATTTTGTTTTCTTTCCCTCTTTTCTTCAGCCCATCTCAAAACAAAAAACTACTTGCCATCATGTTCTTGCTCTTTTTGTTTCAGCTATCTCAAGGATTTTGTGCGCTCCCTATTTCGTGCTCGATCTCTACAACCTTCCTTTTCTCTCACTCTCCTTCCCTCCAAACGCAGCCCGCATTTTTGTTCCTTTTTTCCCCCCCCTTTTTTTTTTCTTTTTTTTTCTGTTCTTTCTTCGTCATGTAATTTGTTACGTCTTCTTGTTTACAGTCATTACGTGTTTTAATAAATGTTCTCTGTTGGCCACTATTCTTCTTTAATTGATTATGTATTCAATATTTTGTTCACACTCATTATTATCTGAGGGGTCCACAATTTACAAGCTTTGCTTTTCAGTGGACCTCTCCATTTTCTCAAAGTATAAATGCAATTAAGTTTTAAAATTCATTTTTTTTGTCTTCCTAAAATGTATAAATTATTATTAAGATTTGTTTATTACCAATGTAACTATGTTTTGTATACATTTTACATTGTATTCGTTATTATGTATTGTATTTTGTTGGAAATGAAAAAATAAAAAATGAAAAATGAATGAAATGGCACAAACATGGCACTAATGGACAGAGATCCTAATAATTACAGAGCTTGGTCTTGTTGCTCTGTTCGCCAGCAGTTTGAGGATATGGAATCCCGCGGCACATTACTCACAAGAGTTCTAACAAGCCAAGCTTATACAGAGCCTATAATAAGTAATGTTGTGCATGTACCACCCACTCGATCGATCAAAAACTCAGAACTCATAACTGAATCTAAAAAAAAAATGAATAATAAAGAAGAAAAAAAGACGAAATGGTAAATCTAAAATTTCATAGTTGTGATCAATATCTATAAAGATTTATCAAGCAACAAAAATAAATAATATCATGTTCAAGAAAAGGATATATACACTTTGTATTATTCTTTCGTGTCCTCAAATGCTCTGCCAGGCTTTGGCACACTGAAGAGCCTTCTCATTTGCTGCCACTAGATCTTCCAGGCAGCATAGGTCAATTAGGAGTGGACATCTTAATAAGTGTGGCATAGATTGCACGGATGTTCCACACTCGCAGTTGGTGTCTGTGTCGTCAGTATATCCCCATTTATGCATGTTGTATTTACATCGCCCCACCCCTGTGCGGGACTTCCACGTCTTCCAATCACGTATATGGCAGCTGTTCCTTGGTCGGGATTGGTAGCTTTTCATGGTGGTGGTTTTCACAACGTTTCTCTTCCCACAAGATCGCTCTGGTTGAACGAGGAGGTTGTGACAGTGGCTGGACTGTATGAAGGAAGCTCTTCCTTGACTTCAGGCGGGTAGGGGCTGGTTGATGGGAGTAAAGGGGATGGCAGGTGTCCTCAAACTGTCTGCTGCATTCAGTCCTACTTGCAACTGTTCTGCGGACATCGGATGGAGCAATGCCGGCCAGGGAGTGCAAGCTGTCCACATTCGTGGGCTTGAGGCAGCCAGTGATGCATCTGCAGCTATCGTTGAGTGCTGCATCATCTTTCTTTGTATGGAATGATCTTCCCCATACAGGGCAGGCATATTCTGCTGCAGAGTAACACAACGCATGAGCAGTTGACCTCAGCGTGGAGGAATTGGCACCCCAAGACGAGTTTGCCAGTTTCCGTAGGAGGTTGTTCATTGTCCTAACTTTACCCTTCACCTTTTGAACATGCTGTTTGTATGAAAGGGTTCGGTCAAGAGTGATTCCAAGGTAGACAGGGTGATCGCAGTGTTTCAATGAGACATCGTTCCATTTCAGGGACAGCTTCCTCCCAGCATTGTGGTTGCGGAGATGGAACAAGCTAACCTGGGTCTTGGCAGGGTTAGCCTTCAGATGGTTGTTGTTCTAGTAGTCTGTCAGGTTGTCTAGGGCTGATGAAAGAGTGGCTTCTATCTTGTCTATGTGGGAATTCTGGGCTGCTATGCCAAGGTCATCAGCATAGATGAAGCTTCTTGTTCCTGGGTACACTGGCTGGTCGTTAGTGTAAACATTAAATAGGACAGGAGAAAGTACGCTGCCCTGAGGTAGACCATTCTTTTGTTTCCTCCATCTACTGCACTTCCCGTTGAGCTCAACATATAAGCGTCTATTTTCCAGGAGCATTTGGATGACGAAAAAGTCCAGATTTTCTCAAAATCGCCTTCCATGTGTTGTTATCCGTAGTCCGATGTAAGTTATAATTCTTATCGTGCGCTCAAACCCGAGTTACGCCTGGAATTTCGAGAGCCCACGGAAAACACGTCCTCCCCACCCCATCCCAGAATCATCATTCATTCACATATACATGATTTAGATATATTTTGAGAGGCAATTAACTGTGGCAAGAGTGAACTAGCTGTTCTCTCAGAGTACCAATCACTTAAACCAACCTGAATAAAAACTTCACAGGCAGTCCTGTAGCCAGCACTTTAAACCAGGATGCTGTAAAAACATATCTAAGGGTGTCGCGAGAGAAATTTAATTATATCAAACAATTATTTGTGAATAGCATAAATTTTGTAAAAACAAAATATTTGACACCGCTATGGATTTTCACGAGATAACATCTTAAAGATAATAAAGTGTCTTTCTTCCTCGGTCGCTTCACTCAGTCGTAACATTTAGAAACAGGATAATTTCAGCCTGCAAAATTCCTGCATACTTCCATATTTGAAGGTGAAAGAATATTATTCCATTCCACAGCGACGTGCCAGAATATTTTCATATTCGGGCAGCAAAAATGGCAGAATATATTTTATTTTATCAAAGTCTGCATCCGCACCTCCTGTATTTAAAGCTGCGTTATACCTTTTGAGATGCCGCTGTGAGGGACCCGCACGGGCAACATTCATTTCAAATGGCCCCAGGACGGCAGACGCCTGTTGTTGTGCAGATAACTGGGGGTTTCGAGGGGCTTTGAGGGGCCCTTGAGGGAGTCGTAGGGTACACGTACGGAACTCTTGAGCACTGCAAGGCCCCCAAAAATTGTGAGGGGCCCGTCCGGGGACCACACGGGACCCGTAAGGAGCTCTATGGGCCCTTTACAGGCTATTTACGGCCTAACGGTCAGATAAAAACGCCGGAAGAAGTGGGAGCAGCCAACTCAGCACCACGGCGCCCGTACGGCTTAAAAAACTGTTCCCAGGAACTTTACGGCAGCCGGCCGTAAATGTCTGTTTTTACTCGCCGTACGGGCCTCTGAGTGATATGGAATCACCCAACTACCATCAGTATTTTCTGCAGTGCATGCAATTCACCCTCCAATTATGACAATCCTGATATGACCCAGCAAGTAAAATTACCATAGTGCAAGACCCAGAAGCTGGGACATCCCCCCCCCCCCCCTTGAAGTTAGACCTGGAAGCTTGGCAGCCGGAGACGGTTTTCTTCAAGAAGCTTTGGTATTCAAGGTATTCAAGAAACATGTACCATCAAAATCTCTACAACTTACCATTATATAGGAATGTTGCATTGTGATTCTTCAAAAATTGGAACACCTCTGTACCTTCCTCATTTGATGCAGTGCACGAAGTGTAATTTGTTAGTTGATTAGGGATTCGTAGATCCTGAGGTGGAACATTTTGTGTAAAATCGCAGCTCAGCTGTGAATTAGAGAAGGAAATCAATCTTATGGTGAAAATAGCAAATAAAGTTACAATACACATATTTCAAATATTTCATTCATGGTATTTGATTCCATGTTTCATGATTATATGAAGCACTCCATCTCTCAATGTTTTTAAATCCAATTAAAAAACTTATTTGTTCAACTGAGAGATCTTATTTTGTAGAATTTAGTAAAAAGAAGCTCTTAACCAGCACAGCTGAATATTTTGTATAAAAGCTGCGCAATATAAATTTATTATTATTATTATTATTATTATACCCAAAATGTACCCTGTGAAACTTTTTAAGAGAGTGGATACATTTATTTTTAGTTTCTACAAATCAATTGAAATTTACAGACAGATTATCAAGCTGCAAACCACCAATGAAAAGAGAGACCTGCAAGTTCAGCAAGACTCTTTTTACTTTGGCATTAGTTAACAAATGTGTTTACTTTTACAAAACTCATGTAGAATTCAATCTGGCAGACAATTAAGATAGGGTCTTGAAAATGATTTCATGAGATGGCAATTTCATCATTTTAGTAAATGTATCTAATGAACTCTCAAAACCATTGTCAGAAGGCTCAAGAGACCAAGAACACTTTCGGCCTGATGACACTGTCAGTCTCGACGCTCTCTGTTTCACTGGTTGTCAGTCTCATGGGCTGTTGGTCTCGTGCTGAGGGTTGTAGCCAGGTAGACCATATAAAAGGATATCTTACCTCTGAACCAGTCAAATCGCAATTAGCACACTGTGACAGCTTAGCATTGGTTCCGCATACAAAGATCCTCCTGCAACCAGAACCGCAGCCTTGGGCAAGGTCCACCACAGCTCTAATGAAGTTATCACAGTTCTCCTATATATATACACATAAGTCAAGATATTAATTAATTTTTGAAAAATCAACACAGCACTTGTAATTAGTCTGCTTTAGAAGCTGTGACACTTACACACAAAAAATGATTCTAGTGGCTTTGCCAATTTGACTGCAAATTCCATAGAGATAGTAGTACCAAACTTTGTATATAGAGGGTATATACATGATCATAATTTTATTGTGAGAAATTTCCTTCCTTAAATTTTCATTCCCATAGATTATCAATGTGACTGGGACCACCACTACCACAGCTACATGCAGCCATGTAAGGTGAATGCGCATATGCACAATGTAAAATGATTTTGAACATACACAGTAGTGATTAATATTCATCAAAAGCATACAAACTGTAGTTGACATGACATGTATTTTAAGCTCCGATATGACCACACTCCCAGTGGTGCCATTTTATATTCATAAGGGTAATGCATGCTCATTAGCATCATAATCAATAATCTCCTATTTGCAGACTTCCAAAACAATTTTAACAAAATGTGATTCCCTTTTCTTCTTTTTTTTAAAACAGGAACATGTACTAAATTGGCTCTAAAACATTATCTTATTTTGGGCTTATGGGTTACAAATTTCGCAAAAAGTACCATCATTTTTACCTAATTTGCAGAAACTTTTTACTAATTTTGTGAGTGGTTAATTCAGTCAGATTTGCAAAAGCTAAATGCTGGGTAACAATTCATTCACAACTAATACAACACTACAGAACGTTCATTTCGCAAAATGTTTTTTGCCATGAAAATGGCCGTCCATAACAATTCATGAAAACTTTGCGTCACACAAGATTCTGATTTTACTGTGAACTATAAATGGCTGTTAAAGATAAAGACTACTTATGGTCATGCGATTGCATTGTGAAAGAAACGTTGTGGAATTGATCAGAAAAGGTTGATCATCTAGCATATACACCTGTAAGTATTGGTGTGTACTGCAAGGTTCTGGAATCATCAAAATGATATGAAATTTGGCCCAGTCTTGGTAAAGTTAAAAACACTGTACACAGAAAGATGTATATGGGACTTCGCGACACGTGCGCGATATCTATCAGGTCCAAATAGATATAATAATCTATCAAATATATCAATTAGCAGGCGGTTTCTCGTCAAAATTTGTATCATCACGAATTAGTAAAAACAGTATTCTTCCACATGATTGGTATAATTAAGAGCTTCCATTTAATAACAGGAATTATTACTCACCCTATCAGTATTTGTTCTGTAGCAATTGCTCTGACCTGTACCGTAACATACCCCAATATCCTGAAACACAAAGGACAACACTAATTAAACAGTTATAAAATACATGTAAATACATGTAAATATTCATGCATAGTTCCTATTCCTGAAATTAAATCTAAATATATTTACACTTTTTAATAGCTGAAATCATTCTCATTTTACCTGCCTTTGTTCTCCCCCTTTTGCATGCATTAATTGTGTACAGTTGTACTTGTATGTACGTTATGTGTACATTTATATTTGTATTAAAAGAGTAGATGTAGACTAGTGAAGTTGCTTCCGCATGAGTTCATTATACGATCTATCAGCACTTGAGTTGAGGTTGTGTGTATCTATCGCACGAAGCCGTTAGACTGAATGCGATAGATACACACAGCATCAACGAGGGCAGATAGATCATATAATGAATGAATGAAAAGCAGAGCAAAAGAAAACAAACAAACCATTCTTTTATTACAAGGATACCAAATACTTTGTATATATGTTTATACATGTTCTTACTTATTGTTTATTGTTGTTTTATGAATTTATGTTCAAGATTTTGTTATTAATATTATTATCATATATATATTTGTTAAACTATAATGTACCTCCTTATGTTTAACAGGGCCCTAATGGAAGACCACTATTATTGGTGATAATGAGTCACCCTGTCTAAATATCGGAAATAAATAAATAAATAAATAAATAAATCATTTGTTTTATACAACGAAACTCCTAGATCCTTGTTATTTGATGTAAAAAGAATTCATTCAAGACTGTTTCGTGATAGTTTATGGCTGACAAATAAATCTCAAGTTTAATAAGGCTTAATTTAGTGCACACACATAGCTACATAGCAAGTGGACTAATTACCTCTATACCCTTTTAGGCATAGTGCTGCGCAAGAATAGGCTCATGCTCACGCATTATTAAGCGCTCTAACCTCTACGCGCACTACTGCGCTCTGAAAACGAGTTCAATAGTAGTGGAAACTATTGCACTCCTTTTCATGAAAACGAGTGCAATAGGCTCAGTAAGTGAATCACACGTGACCACGCATGACCAATCATTTGATTAGGATCTGGGAGTGAGTTGTATCAAACAGTAACAGTTGGCCTTTTCATTTATATCAACTTGAGATGGAAATTAATAATGCATCCTTAAATTTGTAACACTGGGGCTTCACACCAACAGGTGCCCAGGACGCGTCATTTTTAAACATAACCTAGCCATCCTAGCGCTGCACATAAATATTTGAATATGTATATTTGCGTTGGTTCGGTGTGGTACAGATCAAAATTAAATCAGCAAGATCCTGGCCTAAACAATATGTCGTAATGATTATGGACAAGTTACGACCTGGGTAGTCATTCATTTACGGTCAGCCTCCCGATTTTCTTGTAATGTAACCTTTTTTAAGTAAACATATAGCTTTGCACTTGTAATTTTTGTATGAAATCTCATTATTTGATAAATTATCGCATCAGATTCTGTGTGCGTGCGTATCATGAATATGTATGACTAGCGCATGACTCATGACGTATAGGTTCCTATTGAGCCAATCAAATGCAGCGGTAGGATGGCTATATCGGTTAGGTTTAAAAAAAAGACACGCCCGTGACACATGTTAGGGTGGAGTTCTAATACACTGCCGCCGTCACGTTCAAGCTCTAGCTAAAGATGGCGGTCTTCTGCATTTTTTCAACTTTGAAATAATTTGTCAACTATGTATTTTTTTAAAGGTATAATTATTTAATTGATTTATAGTATGATATGATTCTAGATGTATTTTAACTTTTGTTAGTAATAAATATGTACCTGCTTGTAAGTATCGGCTTGCATGGTGATGTAGATATATAGTAGGCTTGCGGGTGCACCAAGTAAGAGAGAGGGAGGATTGAGGAGTGCTGAAAAGGACTCTCTGTAATCTTTCTTGAGGGTGTGTAGTTCTGAAAAGGACTGTTGGTGTAGTCTTGAAAAAGACTGTTGGTTATCTTTCTTAGCTTATAGTTCTAAGGAGAACTATAGCGCTTCGAGAGGATGGGTGTCGGGAGTGGCTCGACATTTCGAACAGGTTGACTATCCGTCATCAGGAGTGGAGTTGGAGTCTCCAGGTTGCGGACTTGGGTACAATGCCACCTACGTAGGGGACACACACGGCGTCTCGCCGACAGCACACCCCACTCATGGATTCGCAACTCCTCCAAGTCCGCAACCCGGAGACTCCAGCCCAGACGCCAAGCAGACGGACAAGCAGACCACCCATGTCCACTCCCTGATGACTCAAGCCCACACGGTCATGTATATTTCCCCCACGTCCGCACCACAATGACTTAAGCTCACGCACGCCAGCTATTCTCCACTCCTGAAATATATGTACCTATAAAAAATAATATCGCTAGTGACATTCCTTTGTCTCGCAATGTATGATCAACAAGGGATCTATAAGATCACGCTTCGTGACGCGCTGCTACACTTCGTCAGGTGATAAATTATATTTTATCACCTGACGAAGTGTAGCAGCAGCACACGAAATGTTGTGATCTTATAGATCCCTTGTTGACCATACATTGCGAGACAAACGAATGTCACTAGCAATATTATTTCCGATACTATATCCCCAATGAGTAATATATTGAGCATTATACGTACCTAGTTTGCATAGAACTTTCTATCATGTTGAAAAATGCAGAAATAAAATTGAACAAACAATCAATCAAACAATACAGAAAAGAATTCTGAGCTTGCAAATTTATGTTTACGCATACATACATACCTCAGTAGTGAAACTTTGTCCATCAAATACAGTCACGTTGTGAGCACTTCCAAGGAAAATAAGATTGTCTAGTCTACCAACAACTCTGACATCTTCCATACTAAATGCAGGTGTATCTCCTCCATCTGCAGAGAAAAAAGAGAGCAGTCCTTTTCCAAAAGTTCCTCACATTGAACATCAAAATCTCTAAAAAAAACTAGAATTAATTGAATTGTTCTTCTTAATCTGAATTGCTCTAGCTTCTATGGTAACTAAGATGAAGATAACTTTTTTAATGGAAAACATATCACAGAGACTCTTGTTCTTACCGAAAATAAACTGTTTTAAAAATTAAAAGAACTGCACAGATCCTTTCACACATACAGTAACATGCACTTACATGGAATTTATCTTTATAGTTGCAGAGAGACAAATAGGTTAGCATGAAACCCACTTCCCTGGTATCATGGAAGGAAGACAAAAATTTCCTGATAGAAAATAAATGAACATTTCAACAATATGCTTTAATTGAAGCATACTGTCCAGCGATAATCAATAATCAACTAACATTTTGTTTGAGATATAATACAGGATTATCAGGGAGCTATCAGTTATGGTGTGAAATAAATGGAAAATAAAGAACATGCTTATAGTCTTTGATGTATGACAGCTAGGTATATATGCCGAATGTTAATTTATTTAACCCCAATATGAAAAAATGTCAACTGATATGCACATATTTGCTTTCCGGTACATTTGTATCACTATATAATGACCAATTGATCAAGTACATATATCGTGAGTTAACTTGTCAACAACAACAAAATCGTTCTATTATGGGACTGCCCATGTTTATTTCTTCAAATGGTCTGATCTTAATCAGAAAATGTATCATCTCAAATACAGCTCAAGTACAGTTTTTACAAAATAACGCACCCCCTTTTCTTGTAAAAATGGCATTGTACTTGCTCAACTTTTGCTGAGATTTTCTACACAATTACTCTTCAAGAGTGGCAGGATTGATATGAAATTAGACAGATGAGTATAAAAACATTCTTATTCAATATACAATCTCCACCATACTGTACTTACCACAAGCCAAAAAAGCTTGCTCACTTTGGCCTCTGACTGTGAGACAGGCTATGTACAGGATGATTGCTAGTATCTGTCCCTTCAACATTCTTGCAACTGAAATGAGAATGTGAACAGAGAAAATATAGCTAAAAACACAAATCTTTTAGTTCATATCATTCATGGATTTAATAATAAGTGTTATATGTTGATGACGGTACATACAGAGATAAGAGAGGACTGTAACACCCCCCTTTCTCTGAAATAAGTTCGGAATATTACAAAATCGCCTTGAAGTTTCTATTGTCTCTCATCATATAAGTGAATGATAACATTAAATAGTAGGAGACCAGCCTGTAGGTCCCGTGACCAATCTCTGGGAACAAAGGTTTAAAAGTGTTTTTGTGTTCCCTGATGAATACCGAACAATTTTGACTTGGGCTGCCCCCTTGAAAATTCCAGGCATTTTCGTGAGGGGTCAACAAAGGTCAAACAGGGGTAGAAATTCAAATATATTCCAATCGTGTCGATATGCATATCAAATTACTCGTCTGGTCATGAGGATTCCAAAAATGTATAGTTTGCTATACCTCCGACCTTAAATGAGGGCGCTTTGGTAAAAAACGTTGAAAGGTCAACACACTTTTGACTTTTGAAATGAGTATGGTAAAAACCGGTCACTCAAAGCTACCATGCACATGTGTTTATGTTAGGCCTATACCATTTTGTACTCGTGTTCAATTGTGTGTTGTATTTATTCCTGATTGTGTATAAATTGATAGTATGTTAATCAATGTTACATATATTTGCAGAAAGAGCCGGAAAGTGATTTGTATGCAATGTTTAATATTTTGTGCATGTTTACAGATATAATTTAGAATTAAATTGAATTGAATTGAATGTTGTTTAATTGTACAGCAGTTACTATTCCTGGTAATTTATGTATATTTCTCAGTTCAAACAAACCTGTAAAACAACATTTGTTTAGTGCCAGAAAATATTATTTTTCTTTTCTGTTCAGGTGCTGATACAGTGTGAGTCAAACAAAATTTTACACCAAGAAAATTGCTAATTATTTAAAAAAAAAAAAAAAAAAAAAAGTAAATATATATATCTAATATGAAAGAGTGTTTTACATACCCCAATTAAATCATTTGGTATCATTTTTGTGTGGTATGTGGCCATGCTTGGATGAACAGGAGGCATTTTTTTAAGAGTGTAAAAATCGACTAGCACCAATTAAAGTGATGCCTTTGTGATGTTTGAGTAAAACATTGGGATTTAGGTATTAATTCGGTATTTGCATACAGATCCACATAACATTCCTAACAAAATAAATCATACTCACAAACTTTGTGTGAGCGATATAAGGTGTTGGAATGACGTAATTGAGAGTTAATTGACACGATTGGAAAAATAAAACGATAGAAGTTTGTGAATGCTATCCTGAACAGAATAATAATAATAATGATACCGGTATGTGTTTAAATAGTGCCGATCACTTATCAGAAATCGCTAATTAAGCGCAGGCTCTACAATGATGCAGCATAATTACCCTGCATGGCGCAGAGCAGCTGTCACGCGCGCGCTCTGATTTTCAAGGAATAAATTCCTGCAGGACCCCATTTACTTCACCTGGGTAGAGTGCAGCACAATGTGGATAAATTTCTTGCTGAAGGAGATCAACATCCTGGAGTGGGATTCGAACTCACGACCAGGGGCGTCTCCAAACGGGGGGGGGGGGGGGGGGGGGGGGGGGGGGGGGGGGTTGGGGGGTGCGATACCCCCCCCCCCCACATGTCATGATATTGTTGGTAAAATTGCGCTCCCATCAGGAAAAAGAGAAAAGGGGGAGGGAAAAAGAGATGGAAAGGGAAAGAAAAGAAAGAAAGGAAAAGAAAGGAAAGAAAGGAAAAGAAAGGAAAAAAAAGAGAAGAAAGAAAGAAAAAAAAAAGAAAAAGAGGGAGAGAGGAAAAAAGAGAAAAGGGAAACAAAAAAAACGGGGGATGAAAGAGAGGAGAGAGAGGGGAGGTAAGAGCCTGAGAGAGGAGGAGTGGGAGTAAAAGAGAGAGGGGGGGTTGTTGGGTGGAGTCGTCTCGTCGAGGGGGCAAGAAAGACACGGGTTAATATGTTGCTGTGTCGGGTCAGCTGTGTCGGTATTATTGCTTGATCCGCGTGTACTATATCATTGCAGAAGTTTGAAGTCGTTGAGATGTATATTGTCGGTTGGCCGACAAGTTTTTCCCTACGAACTGTGACTTTTTATCCGCTGTGACGACTTTGAGAGTGACTATTTTTTCAAAGTTTCACTTTCCTATAATATCAGCTAAAGAAATCAGAGGTCAAACTAATTAAGAGTCAACAACAGTACAACGAATCGTCTTCCTTTCTCAATATTTCGATGAAACGCCAAAAATCCTGCGCTTTGCACGGGAGGGGAAAACTTCATTTAAACGAGTCAGGAACGTTCCAACGAATCGTCTTCTTTCTATAATAATTTAAGGAAACGTCAAAGCTTTCGCGCTTTGCGTCAAAGGGGGAAACTGAATTCAGATAAATAGGGCTTAATAAGAGTCAAAAACAGTGCAACAAATAGTCTTCTGGAGGTTTTTGGGTGGAGCTAAGCAAGTTTGAAAAACAAATATTTAAAAATCTATGAAACAAATTCAGAAATTTACATATATATATCAAAATATGAGGTGTATGCAGGACTGCACACCAACAGGGATACACTTGTATTTCAATGTCATGGGCCCTTTATTGATTTCATCCACGTACTTTACTCAAATGGTAACGTTAAACAAAAACACAGTAGTAACGACCTGTGTGTACTGTGTACTGTGTGTGATGAAAATAATCCCTCTGATTTCCACATGGAAAAATCAAAGCGAAGCCCCAATCGCTGGTGTAGTCTGATTGGTTCAAACATGCGCATAAAATTAATATGCATGTTTACGCGCGATATGTAACAATTACAAATCTACATAACAATAGAATATAATAACAAAGCAGACAGAACCGGTTGGGACATGTCTGCAAAGCCAGACAGCCGATCGCGGTCAATTTAGAGAGTGTACATTCACTGTTCAGCGCAAGTACATGTACCTTTATCCGTTGCCATCCTCTTACATTTTGAGTTTTTATATTTCATTTCGATATTTCAAACAACTTATTTTTAAAATCCCAGCCTTTAGAACAATCTGCAGTCATAACGAATGACACCCGGAGGCGTGCAGCACTCTAAAAGTTTTCAGATTTCAATGGATTGAATTCCTTACTCAAATTATAATTTTGCTTTTTTCCTCCAATTGTGTAATACAAACATACAATTGAATAAAATAAATAAACGTTTTCAATATTGATTGCTTTTGACAAATGTTAAAAATGGCCTTAAAACTTATGCAAAATAAATTTTAGACGATTTTTAGCATTACGCGCGCGTTTTTGACTCGAAATTGACCGGACAGATATTGACCTTGATCTGATAAATTATATGAATGAGAAATGACTTTCGGTTATTTAAAGATAAAATCATGAGTTTATTTTCAGAAAATTTCACAAAATGGCGCCTAGATGACGTCATCAGTCATGGTCAAGATCGGAAAACTTGCTGTGCTTTGTCCATACCCGGTATGCCTTAGATACATATTTTTGCCAAATTTCAAGGCATTTGATTGAGCAATTTTCAAGTTATCTAATTATCTTACAAAAAAGTGTACGGAAATAAGAAAAAGATATAAATAAATAATAATAAAGGCATTTGTAACGAAAACATCAGGTGGTCTGTATTATATACAGCCCACCTGATAAATAAAGGCAATTTTAACGAAATCATAAGGTGGTCTGTATTACTTACAGCCCACCTGATAAACCTGAAAAACAGCGAACATCATAAACTCATATATACGTAAAGTGTACCTGAATGAGAAATGTAGGTTGCTTCTAAAAACATACACATAAAGTAACAGTTGTGATACTAAAATGTTAGGTCTACAGTCAAGTCTTCTGTCACTTACCGATAAGTTTTTATCGGGTACTGTTTGGCCAGACATGAAAAGCTCGCAAAATAGTGCAATGACGTTTCTGTAATATATATACAACTTCCTGATTCAAATACATGCACCCTTACAGTCACATCATGGACCCTAATAAAGCAAATATTTTACCTAGTCCTGTTTGTATCAAAGCCATGCAGAGCAATATGTGCAGTCATGCATGAATTTTACAATAATGTATTCCTCTTTGCCACGCAGAGCTATTATCATAAAAGGTAGCTCACCGTAGCTGCGTGTCATGGCGACAGAATGGACTAACATTTTAACAAAAGAATGATGAATATGATTTAATCATAGTGTAGTGTGTGTATCCATACACACACAGGGTAAACATGCATGTTCATCATATGCATGCACATACAGCTCCATGGGGGCCTGTGTTATTGGGTGGAGTCTATATACTTCCATTTCCATGCATTAGATTAATGATAAAAAAAGTCAGAACTCAAGTGGTTGCATATGTACAGCAACCCTACATGTCTGTCCTATTTGTAAACTTAACATATTATTTCGTCCGTTATCCCTCTTGACTCCCAATACAAACAAATAACACGCTATAAATACACTTCAATTATTGTGGGATAGCCTGACAACGACTACTGAGAGCCGGCCGTTTATTCAGTATGTGTTTAACGAACATTTCTTCTCCTTTCCTTCACTGGAAACCCGACCGACCATGGTCCAGGATAAAGACCAGAGGTAAAACTCAACTAGCATAAAAACTCTGGAAAACCTTAATAAAACAGTCATGTCGTAACACGACACAACGCACTTTTATTGTAAATAAAAGTTGTCTCATTGAAATTACAAGCTAGAATGATTCAATTACACACTAATTGATGCCACGCCCTGGTCTCCGTGGCAGAGTTTGCTCGCACACCTGTACAAGCTGCCTATGCAAATTACATTCCATCAGGACATGGCCCGTACCCAACATAAGTATGCATTCATTAACGATACAAACAACATTTGCCTGCTGTACAATCGTACCGCAGACAAATAATAGTATATTCTGGTCATTTGGTGTACATATCAACAAACAGAAGTTCCAAAGGCACTATT